AGTGTGATCCTTGGGCATCCCATCGGTATCCATCAGGAGCACCGAGTTGGAATACAAGTTGGTCACAGGCTCATCCACTACAGGCAATTTTAACTTCTGTGAGGTTTCTGGCATCAGATAATAAAGTTTTGAAAAGAGTTGATGATTAGTCTTAGGTTTTGCCGGCTGTTCCCATTCCACCTTCATTATGTGATAAAATGAGGCTGGGAGAGGCAGCCTTGGCTGAGTGACTGATACCTTAGGCATCAGCTTACCCACCCCTTTCTGAAACTCAGAGTCTTGTTCGGTCTCCTCCCTAGGTCTGGTTGATAAATCTAGAGTCCTTAACACTTTAGGCAAGAGACGTGAATAAAGGTCCTGCGAGAAAAGCCTGGATTGAACTGTAGGTACTACAATTTCATCTTCTTCTGCAGAAAGTTCACCTTCCTCCTTTTCAGAAGAGGAAGTTGAAATCTTTAGCTCAGATTCTTCACGTCCCAGCAGGGGACTCCTCTCTCTAGATGGAGATTTATGTTCATTGCGTTTTGAGCTAACTGGGGATCTAGAGACGCTGGATACCCTATCCCAGGTTCTCTTGCCCTTTCCCTCTGAAAAGTCCTGTGATTTGGAGCCTTGAATAGTCTCCAGTATCAAATCTTTGAATTCCCTTCTCATTTCTCCTCTGAACCAGTTCAGCATATCAGAGTTAATGGCCTCCCTGGAGTCCATGCCTGTGTTGGCTAAAGGATCCTGGCCAATCTGAGACATTGAAGGCCTTGCCTGCATGATGTCCCCGGAGGAACTTCCTTGGGCCACCTTCTCAGCCATTTTCAAGAAACTGCATTTCAGGCAGGATGTTAGGAGTCGGCAATCGTCCGCTCCGTGTCCCGCTTTGCTGCCGCCTGCCAAGTGTCGGTAGGGAGTTTCCTCGCCTTCGCACTCCCTGGCATCAGGAGCAGGCCCTCCGCCCCCGGGACAGGTAAGGCCGATGGAGACATGCGCCTCGGACTGCCGACGTGCCTGTGGGCTGAGACCCGACGCCGTCGATAAAAAGCCCTGTGTTGCGCTGTCCGGCTGTAAAGCCCAGCCGTCGCTGCTTCTTCTTCTTTACTTAATGTGCACTCTTCAGCGCAGCTGAAGTAAGTCCTGCTCAAAGAAGGGCCGGCAAGAGAACTGGGGAGCCTACAAGGGGATAAGCCCCTCCCCCGCCTGGATCAAAGCTTGGAGCCGACCCTGAGAAAAGAGGAGGAGCTTATCCCAGACGTAAGGAATGTACCATGACGAACCACTGGAGAAACAAATCTAAGGCAGAGGTCCATGCACAGTAGGCACGATCTCCACAACCCCCACCAAAAAAACTAGTTCAGTACAGATAGCCCTGAAGTACTCTTAAGATTCCTCTGCCAGCCTGAAGCCTTGCTCAGTATAATTGGCATAATAATTAAAGAAGCATACCAATGAATGAAGAAAGAGAACCAGGCAGATGAATATTCTATATTTAGCTAAATGAATATTTTCATGGCTATCCTTTATGAAAACCATGTTGGCTTTAAACAAATTCCTAACACAGTGCTTATTAACATGAATCTGGGAATAATTTTTTGGGGGAAAAATAAGTATTTGGTTTTTCTCAAAGTAAAATCTATGCTAATATTTAATTTGGTTTCCTGGAAGCTTCTTCAGAGGTTTTAAAGCTTATGTAAAGATGCTTAAGAACAGAAAGCTGCAATTCAGATCCCTTGAAATATAAGCTGAAATGTAATAAGGCTCCCTTAAAAGTGACAGAGGCATGTTCAGGTCCCAGATAAACAACTCCTTCCTGTTCTGCTTTCCTTGGAGTATGGAATGGAAGTAGCCTGGCGCTGTTGCTTTAATCAGCACAATCTAGGTTAAACCTAATGTTGGACTGCCACCTTGTTTTCTTCAGTACCTTATATAAGAAAAACTCATATGAAGTTGCCACCGGGCTATCTAGCTCAACAGCATCTGCTCTGAGTGGTAGGGTCTCAGGCAGAGAAAGGTTTTTCCTTCCATCTGCCACCTGAGATCCTTTGCACATGCATTTTACCATTAAGCCATACCGCCTCCCCACGCACAGATAAAATTACCATGTTAAGGAGAGGGTTCTAGTCTAGATTTTTCATATAACATGCTAGATTTGAATGTGCAGCTGGGGGCTTATTCACATAAGAAAACACAGAAATTCTATTCTCCCCCACTCTGTCTGCAGTAGTATACTCCAGAATCAGATACATTAAATGAGGCTGCTTGTTTTGATTCTAAGCTTCCTGAGCTTTTGCCTTCTTGCTATGCAGCCTGTGTTTACAAAGAGTTGATCGTAATGTTAAATTAATACAGGTCCCGTTCACACATTTGCTGCGCTAAAGATACGGATGATAGGCGGATTTTCCGGGCGCGATCACACTGCAACATCTCGGAAGCGAAGTGCACCCGTGGCTTCTTGCTGAAGATACGGAGTAAAAAACTAGTACATACAATGTGCTAGTTATCAGGAAATGCGGGGCAAGGGCAGGCATCTGATCGCGTTTCTGCTGGAATCCCGTGGCATCCGGTGCCTGCCCATGTCCCGTCACAAACTGGATTATTTTTTTTTAAGTCTCCACCGGCACATGCGCACACTGTGGTGAGGGGAAAAAAATCCCGTTTGCCACAGAAGCAGCGCCTAGCGATTGCCAGTGTGATCGTGCCACGCTGCTTCTTTGCCACGCTGCAGGATAGCCGTCTGATCGGCACCTAACGGCATACCCACGGGACCTCCACGGTACATGTGATCAGGCTGCCGCGCATTACTTTGCTCCGGGGCAAACAACCACGCTCCCCCCCCCCAATTTCCGGCCCATGTGACTGGAACCACAGATTAGTTAATCCTAACATGCTTTTTGGTAACTGCTGGCTGCAACCACACATCATTGGATATTGAACTTTAATTGCACTACAACAATCATTTGCAACTGGATTATCCCGTGTGGACAAGCTAATCCAGTTGCAAATGGTTTGTATAGAGAAATGATAGCACAATATTCAATGATGTAGAAGAAGAAGAAGAGAAGAGATTGGATTTATACCCAGCCCTTCACTCAGAGTCTCAGAGCATCTTACAAACACCTTTCCCATCTTACACCCACAACGGATACCCTGTGAGGTAGGTGGGGCTGAGAGAGCTCTTTCCAGAACTGTCCTTGAGAGAACAGCTCTGACAGAACTATGGCTTGCCCAAGGTCATCCAGCAGCTGCAAGTGGAGGAGTGGGGAATCAAACCTGGTTCTCCTAGATTAGAGTCCGCACACTTAACCACACACTTAACTACTGCACCAAACTGATGTACTGATACAATAATTCTTTTGTATATTTTCCCTGCTTCACTCAAGTTTTTCTTTTCCTTGCAGAAGCAGGAGAGAGGGCTTTTACCTGATGGGTTAATTAATCCAGAATAAGACAATAGCACTGTAAATGTTTTGGACTGCGTTCAGGGAACCCTGGAGTTTCCTGGAAGCTTATCAGGGATTCCTCAATAAAAAAATCAGACCAACTTGCTTGTATGTTTCACCATCTCTATTAGCCTACCAAGAAATAAACTGTTTTTTTAAAGAACTAGTGAAGTACAGTGGCTAAGAGATTGAGGTATGAATCAGAGGCATCTACCAACCATGCAGTTTTGAAGATTTAAGAGCACTTAAAATTTTCAGAAGAGAGGGCAATGATTTCCAGTAATTTTTGTCTTTCACTGCAGACCACCCCTTTGCTTTTTGGGGTTCACTGACTCCCAGGAACATAATTTCAGGGGTTCAGTGGGCTGCAGCAGGGGAAATAGGAAAGTCCCACTCCATGAGGTCCACAAAGTATTGGAAGAATGCCAATAAGACCCTTTTCAAATCTCTCCTTTGCCATTATGTGGTCCTCGGCAAGCCACTTTATCTTAGTCTCAGTCCCCTTCCCAACAAATCTGCAAAAAGGAATTGATGATGATAATATAATAAATAATAATGATCTACCTTATAGGGTCGTTGTAAGGATTACAAGAAGCTCTTTGCTAATTTGAAGGTTACATATTATCATGTCTAATTCCAAAAATATTAATCCATAAAATTAATCCATAAAATGGATTATTAAAACAGCAAAATGGAACTAGGATACTATGGATACGGAGGATTTATCTAGAAACGTTTAAAAACTGACCAAGTTTGCAGACAAATCTAATATCTAAATAAAATCATTGGAGAATTAAAACCCTACAAAATAACAAAAACAACAGCTATAGCTTTTAGAAAAGAATGCTCTCTGAGTTCTCAGTCACCATTTTGGAGGTTGCTAGGCAACCCCAACAATTTTGCTGAGCCTGACTAAGGGAGACATGTGAAGAACAGGCCTAGTTCCAATGACCAGGGATACACTACCCATTGTACTTCGCCTGGCACTGGCAGCCACCATGTAACTGGACATGAACTTTTCCTGTGGAGAGGCTGCAGGGGGAGGGAAGGAGGGAAAAGCTGAAGGCAAGGGAGCAGATAAAGGCAGATTGTCTGGTGCATATGAAGAGAAGAAAACAGAAGTAGCAATGAGTCTTATGGGGGATGCCAGAGAATGAAAAGAAGAAATATTAGGGGTGGGATATAGAGGAAAATGATATGCCCCCCCAACAAGTCCTTGTGGGTCCCCTACTTCTTATGTAGTATTTTACTACACCTCAGTCTGAGATAGCATTGGTTTCAGTAATGCATTCAATAATGCATTCTTAGCCCACAGAGATGATGGCCAGTGTGCTGAGTAAATTGACCATGCACCATGAGACATGCTTCAAAAGCCTTCTATGATGCATAGGAATCCTGTGGCAGTCACACAGTGATTTCTTGTCAAATAAACCAAAGTGGGAAGAATTCCCCTGAGGATCAAAGTTTGAATGCCACTGCCCTGAGAGAAAGACCTTATTGATTGCAGCTATATGTAGTTTTATGCAATAGAAGTATTACCACTGTTTTATAGACACTAATCTTTGTACCTACCTGCCTGACGAGGGCCAGCTGCAAAGAGAGGTAGAGAATGATCTGGTGATCTTCCGGTGCCAGTTGATGTGCTCTGTAAAACACAAAGAAATGTTAATTAATAAGAGAACCATTTTGAAACAACTTCAAAGGGATTCCAGCATGAAACTGCTGAGCTAGAATTCATTAAGAAGTTTTACACTATCTCCCCTTGCTGGCTTGAACAGGGACTTAGGATTTCTTACTCATTAGAGGTGTTAGCTAGCTTAGCAAAATCTGGGACTGTCTGCCCATTACTGGTGTAAAACTAAATAAATATAATTACATTGGAATTGTATCAACTTTAAAGAAGCAGCATGATACAAGATGGGTGGAGTTGCCTGTTCAAAATCTATTGGATCATCTATTGGAAAAGAAAATGAAATATTCAGGAATAAGAAATGATATAGTACAGAAACCACAGAAAAAACTAGGCTAATTAAAATGCGTGCAAAAAAACTGGATACTAATAATACATCTGTCAGGACCTGTAGGTAGGTTTGGCATCTTATTTGGGTATACCCCTCAAAACACAACTGCCAAAATATTTTTATTGTTTGACAATACCAAAGCTCAGATGAGCTTTTACTCGGGCAAGAATGAATGACCTTCTACTGGCAGTTTTGGAGAGTAGATAAAGTGCTATATTCAAATAGAACATGTAAATGTTCACATGATAAAATTGAAACAATTGAACATATGATCATGGAATGTCCTATATTTAATGAGTTGAGGGCTAGATTAATTATTCCTTTACTTAAAAATAACAAGGATGTGCTCTTACGTTTATGCGCATGCACAAAAAGTTTTTTTTTAAAAAAAAAAAACCCACCGCGCAAGGCTCCTTCAGTGGACGCCATCTAGACAATCCACAATGGAGGCAGCGCACGGTAAGGCGATTAACCAGGGGGATGTCTGGTCGTGCTACGATGGACTAAAAAGATCAGGATAAAATTCAAGATGGCATAATGACGGGATTAGCTGCCCGTCTGAACGCACCCCAGGTCTTTGTCCAGCAGCATCTGTGAGAGAAATTTATTTCTAGCTGAGATATGAATGGGACTGAAAGAAGCACTGAGTAAGCACCTTGATTTTTCCTGTGCTACAGAGGCAAAACCAGGCATCAAATATGGGGCATTAGTAAATCTCCTTTAAAAACAACAGCTGGCATCAAATTAAACTTTAACAGAAAAATGACTCTTCTTACAGGACAGTAACTGAGTTGAAAAAAATAATCTTCCAGGTAATGTTGGTATTTAAACATAGGACACCATGGGCAATTGTATTGCTATCTGCTATAGCCATGCCAGGCTGGGTAAAAATATCAAAACTAAATTCTTCAAACCTGGGAAATAAGTCTGGGAAAATCTATAACATTGCAGCAGTTAAAGCCAAGCTCTGGTTGTCTGATGTAAATTAGAAAGAAAATTTATTCCTCAAAACATATTTAGGAAGTCAAACATTTAATCTATTGCTTGAATTGAGCCACCAGACTCCTTGGATTCGGACAAGGTAGAACTGGGTTCAAATAGCTGCTCAGCCATAAAACTTACTGGGTGACCTCTGGCTATTCTCACACACTCAGCCCAGCCTGGTTCATAGGGATCTGAGCTGAAATAAAGGACGTGGTATCGTGTGTTCCTACTGAGCCCCTTGAAGGAAGGGCAAGATAAAAATGTAATAAGTAACTTAACTTAAAATGTTCGACTTGTTTACATAGAAATGACACTGAAGCATTACCTTCCCCAAACTATGAGCTATAGCAGTTGCCGCAAATTATTTATTTTTAAACCAAAAATAATAGCCTGATATGGCAGCCCCGCACCCCAATTTGGACATTGTGCTAAACTCTGTGTGACAATGATCTGTTTGCATGTGTCCGCACCCTAACTATGGTCATTCTTGCTGCCATAAGTGTGCATGTGACCAATGAACTATTCATTTCATTTATACCCCACTTTTCTCCCCAATGGGGACCCAAAGTGCCTAACATCATTCTCCTCTCCTCCATTTTATTCTCACCACAACTCTATAAGGTAGGTAAAGCCCCATGAGAGTGTGACTGGCCCAGATCACCCAGTGACCATCCATGGCACAAATGGGGATTCAAGCCTGGGTCTTCCAAATCCTAGGTTGACACTTTTAACTACTACACCACACTCTCTCTCTCTCTAATGAGGATTATGAATCTTGCTTATATAAAGAAGAACGGACAAAATCATTTGAAGGGTCCAATGCAGTTGACTTTGCCTGTTTCTGCCAGAACTTCCATCCCAGGATACATAGCTCTTTATGGCCAGGGTCCAGCCTACCTGAGGGACCGCCTTTCTCCATATGTTCCCCCAAGGGCACTACGGTCAGGGGGGCGTCATCTCCTGGAAATTCCAGGCCTGAGAGATGTTAAATTTGCAGTGACCAGGACCAGAGCATTTTCTGTGGTGGCTCCTACCTGGTGGAAGGAGCTCCGGACCCCGCGGGACCTCTCTCAGTTCCACGGGGCCTGCAAGATGGAGCTCTTCCGCCAGGCCTTTGAGTAGGAGCCACCGCCACCACTATTCCACCTTTGCCCATTTATTGTAATTTATTGTTTTTAAACTATGTGTTTACTGTTTTAACCTCGGCACATGGTGCCCTTGTTAGCCGCTTTGAGCCTTCGGGGTAGGGCGGGATATAAATTCAAATATAAATAAATAAATATAAATAAATAGTACTGAATATTCAAACCACATATGTATATGAGTTCAGCTGTGTTGACAGTGGTGTCGACTACACAGCTATTCTGACAAATGTGTCTGAGCCTAAGAGAGGTGATGATATACTAGTATGATGGGATTCTGAACGCACATTCTCTGTAAGCTGTACAAAGGGCCACTTTCAGCTATGAATCTCAAGCTTCTGATTATTCCTAATATGTCAACGGGAAGTCTAGGTCTGTGCCTCAATGCATGATTCAGCTTGTCATGACAACATGATACATGGTTGAGATCAAAACTTTTGTGTCAGCTCGAATTCTCATGCTCATATCAGCAGATCTCCAGAATAAGTTTGCTTACTTGACATTTCTGCTAGTAACTCGATTTCTTAGTTTAAGAAATTGTGGATCTGGAAGAAATGAGTGATCGGGATCTCTTCTGATCATACTGTATTCTCTATTTTTTGAGTAAGTTTTAGTATCTCCACTGGCAACATTAAATCTCAACCTTTTGCCATGAAAGTGAATGATTCTTTTTAACAAACCGGGTTAAGTGTATGGTGAACATGTAGCAGTTCTGGGCATCCAATTTGCTTCTCCTGGGGTCCCAAAGATACAAAGTTGCCTTTCAGCTGAAGTGGTCCATAGTTTTTCCTCAAGGTGATCTGTTTTTGAGGTCAGTGGGTTAATGGAACCACCATATAACAATACAGTAAACAAGGCAAAGAAACTCTGTCCTGTCTTTCTGATCAGAGTCTTAAAGGCTTATAAGTTTTATAAGCTAATATTGCTTTCTTTCCCATTCACCCTCCCCCAATGAACCTGGCAAGTTTTTTTCTAGTTGGCATGGGGAAATATATAAAAGTGAATTACATATAAAAATCACACAAGGAAAAGTAGCTATTTTAATAATCACCGCTTTTCCATAGCAAGTTAGAAGAAGAAGAGAAGAGGAGATTGGTTTTATACCCCGCCCTTCACTTGGAGTCTCAGAGCAGCTTACAAACTCCTTTCCCTTCCCCTCCCCACAACAGACACCCTGTGAGGTAGGTGGGACTGAGAGCTGTTTCCAGAACTGTCCTTGAGAGAACAGCTCTGACAGAACTATGGCTTGCCCAAGGTCATCGAGCAGCTGCAAGTGGAGGAGTGGGGAATCAAACCCGGTTCTCGCAGATTAGAGTCCGCACACTTAACCTCTACACCAAACTGGACTAGCATAATACTTTCTTTATTTGGTCAATGAGAAGAGTGCAAGTGTTCCTTACCAGAATGGTTATATTCCAGTATGATATTTATACTTGGGTATCTCATAATAATGGATGACTTTCTGAACTTCTTTTCCAGTTATGCTGTAAGCACAGCTCACTACGTCCAGGGATCCAACCCCATGACTAGAAATGTAACAGGTACAAACTACTGTTGTAATGACTCAAAACTTCCAGAAATTGATTTTTGAATTGGAGACAATGCTGAATGTTTGCATACCACCAACAGGGAGACTTCTGGATATAGTTAATTTCTTATCTCATTGGCATTCATGCCCATTTTATATGTATCTCCTTAGACTTCCAATCCATGACAAAAAGCAGCTCCCTTCCAAATGAGGAGTCTTGCTCCATGCAAGGAGGCTCTTCACTACATCCATGGATCCAACCCCATGACTGAAAGTGTAACAGGTACAGATTACTGTTGTAATGACTAAACAAGGGCAGGAAACCAGGCTCCTAACATCTATGCCAGTCCTGGATTTTCCAGATGTTCAATATTGCCTGCCAACTGGCTGCTATTGCACATCTCTTCTGTGTTTGAGGAAGACTTTGAGGGCTGAGATACTCAATGGGCTGGGTCCCATGGCAAGAACCCCCCAGACTTCCAGACAAAGGTAACATCACATAAAACAGCAACACAGCAGTTGAACCCTGAAACATGTGTAATTTGTGTTAATTCAGGTCTTTAAGTCTTCACTATCCATGAATCTAATACAGAGATACTCAGTGTCTTGGGAGCCATATGTGGCTCTTTGATATTTGATTTGATTTATTAGATTTCTATGATATGCCACCTGTGACTCTTCTGAGCACTGTCTCCCAATATGACTCCAAAGACATGGGGCAGGTAAGTGGGCAAGACCCTTGACAAGTGGGACTTGTGGTTAACAGGTAGTTCCCACTTTGAAACAGCCATCACCTGAAGAATGGGTAAGCTGTGAGAATCTGCACCTCATGCCAAGGTCAGAAGTAAATTTAGCTCTTTTGATTGATGGCCCTTCACAGGCTGTGGAGTGAGTACCTCTGACTTAATAGTAGTTAATGCCATCTCTAAAAAAATGGAAGCTAAGATGCAGAAAGACCCTCATCACATCT